AAAAGTTTTCGTCACCTTGCCGCGTTACATTGAGATTGAAATTGGTTTTGACTGGGTGTATCTTTCTGTCTGGGTGTAAGGGTTAGCAACGCGGTTGCAGGGTAATAGCTTCATCCGAGTCGCATGTCGCTGTAAGAAGAATGGAAAATTCTAAGAACGGATTAGATTCAGTGTCTCGTTAGCTCAGTGCAACGGACGTGGCTCAATTATGATTCTTTTCTCATTTTTTCACCTTCATTTCAATCTCCTGGCTTTGGCCGTCCCCGACCTAGTTAGTTTGTAATGATTTCAAGTAATTGGCTTTCATGTCGAACATCCACTCAATGCTCGATGCAACAGACATGGCTCAATAAATTCTTTTCTCATTTTTTCACAGGGGCACCACAATCTCCATCTCCCGGCCTTGGCCTTCCCCAACCTGGTTAGTATGTAACGTTCTCAAGTAATCGGCTTTCATGTCGGACATCCACTCAATGCTTGATGTAACAGACGTGGCTTGATAATTATTTTTCTCATCTTTTCACAGCGGCACCACAATCTCCATCTCCCGGCCTTGGCCTTCCCCAACCTGGTTAGTATGTAACGTTCTCAAGTAATCGGCTTTCATGTCGGACATCCACTCAATGCTTGATGTAACAGACGTGGCTTGATAATTATTTTTCTCATCTTTTCACAGCGGCACCACAATCTCCATCTCCCGGCCTTGGCCTTCCCCAACCTGGTTAGTATGTAACGTTCTCAAGTAATCGGCTTTCATGTCGGACATCCACTCAATGCTTGATGTAACAGACGTGGCTTGATAATTATTTTTCTCATCTTTTCACAGCGGCACCACAATCTCCATCTCCCGGCCTTGGCCTTCCCCAACCTGGTTAGTATGTAACGTTCTCAAGTAATCGGCTTTCATGTCGGACATCCACTCAATGCTTGATGTAACAGACGTGGCTTGATAATTATTTTTCTCATCTTTTCACAGCGGCACCACAATCTCCATCTCCCGGCCTTGGCCTTCCCCAACCTGGTTAGTATGTAACGTTCTCAAGTAATCGGCTTTCATGTCGGACATCCACTCAATGCTTGATGTAACAGACGTGGCTTGATAATTATTTTTCTCATCTTTTCACAGCGGCACCACAATCTCCATCTCCCGGCCTTGGCCTTCCCCAACCTGGTTAGTATGTAACGTTCTCAAGTAATCGGCTTTCATGTCGGACATCCACTCAATGCTTGATGTAACAGACGTGGCTTGATAATTATTTTTCTCATCTTTTCACAGCGGCACCACAATCTCCATCTCCCGGCCTTGGCCTTCCCCAACCTGGTTAGTTTGTAACGATTTCAAGTAATTGGCTTTCATGTCGGACATCCGCTAAAAACAATAAAAACTAACTTGGGATGTCTAGTGAGGTTTCGAGGAGGTCTGAGGGGGCTTTGGGTATCTTTCATCGCTGTCACAATCGGTGAAATTTCTAATTGATTAGTGAAAGTAATCCTGAATTGCACTGGTTTTGCATGTCTTACCTTGCTTTCCAATTGGTCTAGAAGACTTGGGACCCTTTTAACCAATCAGATAGCGAAATGAAAAACCGTTGATATTCGAAAACGGCGAGAAGAGTAATTACCAAAAAGCAGCTCAGGGATATAAGTTGAACGAACCACAACCTTTCAGTTCCCTCGACACGAGAAAACTATAATTGTCGGACAACATGAAAAATTGAAAACTAACTCTACTCCTCTCATGGCATTTTGAAGGTGGTCGACCCAAGGGTATTTGTGTCACAAAAGAAGAAAAGTTTGGAAGATTACGAAAAATCATCACAAGTAAGCGGAGAAGATTTGATTATTTGTATAATTCCTCCTTGGATCCGGTCCGGGATTCTTATCTTCTACTTTTCTTAACCCCGGAGTCTAACTCCCAGAGGTGATTGACATGCATCTTCTCCTCGCGATTCCACTGTTTTGTTTGAAATCAGGTTATGAGAACAGACAAGCTTGTCAGCTTAATGGTGTTATGTTGATCCAACAGCAAATTACCTTGTCCCATTGTCGAATAAAAGTAATACTAGAGAGTTACCAATTGGATCCTGGAAGGTAAATCATGGTTAAACACTCTTTTTTCTGCTTGTAGTCTGCAAGAATCCCGGTAATGACAAAACAACAAGCACAACACAGGTCAGTCTTGAAGGTTATGGCAGTGGATGAATATAAACTGCCTGTTGAGGCTTTAGCTTGAACTTTATTTTTAAATGTCCCTGTTATATGATTGGTTGGTAGCGTCGGAAGGGTGCGGGAAGAACAGTTCCATCTTGATAGATCTTTGCCGAACTGTCTAAGTTTGTATTTCTAAAACCGTAAGACAGGCGGCCAGGCCAGTCCCTGTTTATTGGTAACTAGAGCGCGAAATTGATTCTCTGGGCCGAATCAGGTGACTAATCTCTACTCGTAACCTTTTTCATACCTCTTCGTTCTGTCATTTTACTTTGGGAGAACTAGGTTGTAGATTTAATGGCTCATCCAAATTGCTGCGATAAATTTTCTTTTTCATAAAAATCATTCAGGGAAATCATCGATATCCTGTCCATTTCTTTAATTTAAATATAGATATACGTAGGTTAGAACACTAAACAGAAAAAAATACCGACGACTTTTTCGAGGGAGGAAAGCCTATCTAACATTTAAATTTCTTTCGGGATTTTTCTTTCATTTTATTTGGCTTAAATGGCTTTTTGACGAGGTCTTCCCCCTTTTGCATTATCATATTTTGCCACCCATTGATAATGGCAGCCCACTAGAATAGAGCTATAGAAAGATAAGCCACTCTTTACTATTGTATTGTTTTTCCAATATGTGATGATAGTATTCTTATCCATTTTGATCTCTTTCATTTACTTTAACAAGTATTTTTTATGGGGGACCCTATCTGAGTGTTTCCAAGCTGTTTACTAACTCCTTATTGCCTTCCTTTCTTAGACGCAAGTGAATTCAAAGGAAACCTGAAACGTGGGAATAGAGTTAATAATAGATGAGATGAATGAATGAATAAAATTATTTCGAGAACGTGCAAAAGGGGATGTCTCTCGCAGCACACAGCATCCTCGAATTATATAGGAGAATCATACGCTAAATCTGTTAACTTTAACCATGAATGAGATTCTATTCACGTGCGCTGCCCACACAATTGTCCCGATATTGAATTCACAATTATTTGTTTTCTCAGCCTGTTTACTGAGAGGGGCAGAGATAAAAATGCAATAACTTAATGTTTCCTATCAGATACTAAGAGTAGATGTCGCTCTATCATATGATGCTGATGATGATCAATATTTACAAGATCAAATCTGTGTCTTATTTGCACGTTCGAATACCTTTGGGTTGGTGGGATTAAGTCATAAGTCGATCTTAGAAATCTGCCCTCTAGTGGCCAAATTTAGCATATTTTTTATTACGTGACTTGGCGAGTATTAGCCCCCGAGTAATATCATACTGCAGCTGCAGTTGACTACTTTAGCAATCAATTACGTAATCAATTGCGTTTAGCGATTGCTTTCCAGTGTTACTTGTTACAAAAATTATGTGTTTTTTCTCTTTTAAGGGATAAAACTTAAGTAAGTTAAATCAGGTCGATCAAGGCGTTCCCGGCAAATAAATACTTGTGCACGTGTCGAGAAAAAATATATTATAACATGGCTTTAAAAAAGCGCGCGCTCTGATTCGCTCATACGCTCGATCTATTTGCCCGTGGGTTGCACGCTGACGTCAGCTTGTTTTGCTTTTTTTTTTCATGGCAACTTTTTCGTCATGTTGCCACTACACACAACATAATTCCTGTTTTTTGTGTGTATTTAACTCGTGAAATATGGACAAATTTGGCGATTTTTCCGAAGATAAGGATGATAATACTTGTGAGCCGCCGAACTTCGAACTCAATGTTTTTGTCGGGCCTCCAGCTTAGAGCTCGAGTTTTGCGAACTTGAGCGAGCAGGAGCTTAATCAGCTGGTTGCCGGTGACAATTAAATATTCATACCCAAAATGAAAGGTGTTTGAAAGTCTCAATGTTATAAAAGAAATGGTTAGAGTGCAGCGTGCAACCATCGAGTTATGGATGCAATTGGGAGGTTTGCTAAGTACTCAAGAAGCTAGAGTCGCACTCGGCTATCGCCTCGTATGACTCTTACGCTTCTTTCGTGCTTAGCAACCTCCCGCGTGCATCTATAACTCGATGGTTGCACGCTGCACGCTAACCATTTCTAATCTATTCTCAGTTCATCAGCGTGTATTTAGGCAGTTATTTTATTTTGCGAAGAGGATTTCTTTGCATGATATTAGAACTTGCGCCAAAAATGTCAGGGCCTTGATTGGCATAAATCGATAACTATTAATGCCTTCATAAACATCGTATGTCTTCTGTGCCCAGTCGATAAATAAACACTCATTAAGAGCATAACAATGATATTCCTACTATTACTGAATTTAACTTTTATTCACTACACTCTCACATGGAGCCTATACAGTGCACGATCTTCTCACGAATCAACTTGAAAGAAAAATGTATTTGAATTTACGAAACCCTTACGTCAAGAGCTCAAAGGCTCCTTTGGCGTCGTATTGAAATTTTGAAGGCGTTCAACGACTGAAGTTTTGAATTCTCATAGGTTGATCAGGCAGCTGTGTATACGTGAATGGCCTATGACAAACGTTTTTGATGCGTCAATGCCTTCAACACACCTATTCCGTCACTTTCTAAATTTGTTCGGCAATTCATAACAACAACAGGTCAGGTTTACATCATCTTTCCTTTGAAGGACTGGTTTCGATTTGATCTATCTTGCTACTTGGTCTAACTGGCTTCAGAAAATGTTCAACCATCTAGCTGCTGTTGCTGTTTTCCGTTATAGTAATTATCTTTGAACTCACTGGCCGGCAGTATCACGAATTAAGCTGAAATTCTGTAAGGCGTGGATGCTTTGTAGATCCAACAGGCAGTTCATGCACGCTTTTAATTTCCTTTGAATCAGTCAGGTCATTTTCGAGGCCATATATAACAAGATAACAATAGTGATGCAAAAGCTTTCTTTCGTATGCATTGATAATAATAATAATAATGATAATAATAATAATAATAATAGTTTATTAAACTCTCTTGCAGTAACTTACTGAATTAACGAGTTATGATACAATGAAAACTTAATAACAACGACTATGTACATTTCTGTATACATTAAGTACAAGTTATATACACCACACGGAACATACATCACATTTGTTAAAAATACTTAAAAGTTAAAAAGTCTTCGGTGCGCTTCGTTCTACAGGTAGTAACGTTTCTGTAAAGATACAAGAAACGATCGTATTGAGCAGACTGATAGAGTTCCTGGGTAGTATTTCTATGGCAGACGTGTCATTCACAAACTTGACTCTCAAGTGCCAATCAGCTAAAAGATTGTTTGTCATTATTGTGAAAAGTATCACTCGTAATTTAGTTCCCTGCGGCACACCTCCCTTGAGGAATTTCCAATCTGATAGTGTTGTACCTATTCTTACAGCTTGCTGTCTGTCGGTTAGCCTGACGTCGCGATCCAACTGATGAGCGCTGGATCAACCTCTAGTTTTCGCAACTCAGTCATTAAGATGTTGTGGTCGATCAAAGCCTTTTTAAGGAGGAGAATGAATCATTTTTCTGCGGAAAACACCGTCGAAGGCGGGTTTTGCCCGAAATTCGAAGTCATTCTGACATCTACCCTGGGAGATCCTCTGAAGAAAAGTCTTCTGAAATTATTTCGGTAATTCGAACTCTGAAAGCCATAAACAAACGGATTCAGCATTGAGTTCACGTACATGATAAACCCAACTATTCGATATACTTTATACAGCTCTTCGTAGTTCTCCAATATTTTCAGTTGACTTTGAAAGGTTATGTACAGCTCAAAAATCAAGAAAGGCAGATAACACAAGTGGTATGCCACCGTTACAGTCAAGGAAATTATAGCAAGTCTTCGCTTGTCTTTCAAGTTAGATTGCCTCATTGAGGCAACCTCTGTTGAGCAAACAGTTTTATTCACAAAGATTCCTCTTAAAATCTGAAAATAGCAGTAAAACAAAGCACCAAAGAAGAAAACAGATGCAGTGAGAGTTGTGATGGCGATCCACCTCAACGTGCCAGCTTTCTCAAGAGTCCAGGGATCCAGGCACCGTCCAAGCTTTTCATCGTACTCGCTGAAAATAAATCCAGGCAGGGAACAAATGATAGCTACGATCCAGATAGCTAAAAGAGCACAGAACATACGATGATTAGTTAGCATGAGTGTATTGCTGAATGGTTTAACAATCGCATGGTACCTCTCCACAGCCAACACCACCAAACTCTGATATGTCACTGAAACAGTCAAACCGGTAACTGAGTAGCTTGTGAAAAATTTACACAGATAGTGTGCAGTTTCTGGAGATATTCGTACTTTGCAAAGGCCTGCTATCAGAGGAATCGGACACCACAACAGAGACACGATGTCGGCAACAGCAACATTGGCCAGTAAAATATTTGTCGAAGTGAACATAGACCTTGTTTTAAATACTATGGCGACGACTAAACTGTTCCCTATCAAGCCTACAAGTACTATCGTTACGTAAAGAACAACCAACGTTACATTGAAAGATGATGCTGAACTGTAGAGGCTCGTGTGAGCAGAAAAGTTCCCCGGCATTTTCCTTAACAAGCAGTGACTAAAGAAATATTTAAAGAAATGACAGCTCCCCGTAGTTTGATATTTCGAAGCGTTGAATAGAACACTTTGAATATGGCCGGTCCAAACTTTTTTAAGTCTTAATGATGACCTTACGTTTCACTCTCACTCAGCCTCTGCCAAAACAGCTTTCGTTTTGCGTTAAATTAACGCCGCTGTGGGTTAAATTAGTAATATAAAATATCACACAACACTGGTTATGACGTCAGTGATTTCATTTACTTCTGCCTTCCCGTCATGTTTACCTTCTGAAAAACACCATTTAGCAGCTTGGATAATACGCAATCATCGGAACATCCTCTTTTTTAATTTCGAAAATCCTTTAGAGTTTTATTCAGTGTTTTTTCTTTCTTACCCACTCAATATCTTCATAAACTTACAACTCAGCAATGACGGCAAAGTACATGTAAGATATTAAACATGAACCTTTGTGTTTTCTGATAGAAACATTTGCATTTTGTTCTTTACAAGTGACAGCCTTTCTAATACAGTCATTAACATATAAACGCAGGTGACAGTGCGAGGGGAAAAACAAAATCATAATCGCTCAACCCCGTGTCCATATATCGTTAATGAACTTAGTTATGCTTTTTTAACAAGTTTTCGTTGTCTTCGCGTATACCATGGAAAGAATGGGCCGGTTATTTACCCAAGGTCTAACCCAAACCGCGGATTTACGCAAGCCGTGGGCCTCAAGTATTCTCTACAAGAGGGTTGATTGAATTAGATAATCGAAATTTTACTAATAGCTTTTGGTCCTCTTGACACTGAGATGGCTTAGGACGCAATTTTGTTGAGCAACGGCTAAACTTTGTATAAATAACAGATGCGCTTTGCAGTTTGAGTAAGAAGAAATATAATTGATGCCAGCTTCTAGAGAAAACATCAACAATTTTAAGATATATGTGTGTGTTATTTTATTTTTTGCTAAAAATTGAAGTAGGAAAATCAGACCGAATAAGTCAACGTTAATGAAGCATTATAACGTTCTGCCGTATTTCGGAAGCGGGTTTTTCATTTTCGGAAATATGCTTAAATTGTTGAGGTAAAGTAAGGAAATTAGCTCTAAGCTGCGTCTTTTATAAATTTAGTAGCTAAAAACACCTGGTTTGGTCAAGCAATATTTGGCTCTGCACAATGTCCTAGATTGCCCGTAAAAATATAATAACACTCCTGTATTCCCTTGTTGTTATTTAATTTCGCGGGTCTTTAAATTAGCGTTTCTACGATAATAAAGAAACCTGCGAAATTAAAGACCCACGCATTAAAACCCTCGCGAAACTTGGTCCCTATAACGAAAAAAATGATTAACACGTAGTAACTTGAACAACATATACCGGATGTTTTCGACAAGTACACAGATTACAAACTGGTCTTTATAGCTGGTAACGGTTTTATTTTGTATTTTCTGTTGTGAAATGACGTTAATTTGCACACATTTCGCACATCGAGCAAAGCTAGAGAATCCAGTTACCATTTTTATTTGAATCCCGGCTAGATTGGTGCAAGGTCCTTTCATACAGTCGTCAAAAAATAACGAAGACATTTTGAAAAATGAAATGAAATTGAGAAAGTTTAAATCGCGAAATTTAAGGCCTTTTTTTTTTTTTTTTTCACATTTGCGGCATGAAATCGAGAAAAAAAAACCCGCGAAATACCGTCTCGCAAAAATTAAATTGCGAAATTAAGTACCCGCGAAATAAGTAGCAATAAGGTAAATAGTACCCTATCAATCGCTAGTTGGGAAAAAGACCTGTATATCAGACGGAACTCGAGTATTTATTCGAGAAAACGGTGAAAATCAATCATAATAACCCTTAACTGCGCACAGTAAAACGTTACCATACTCTGAAATAGAACCTGCCTTGATGCCAGCCGCAGTCAAACTTTTGCATTTCTTTCTGTATCTCACAACATCCTAAATTTTGAGTCGAAAACGGGGCTCCCCCAGTGCTCTTTGTGATGAGCAATTACATGTTCTGTTCTTTGGTCATGATGCGCAGTTATTCTTCATTAAACTGTACCATGCTTATGTAAACAAGTATTGCAGTTTTTGTTTTTCTTGCGGTTGCTTCTTTTATTGTATCGGAAATTTTTTTAACACAGTTCTTCAGAAAAACAGTATTCACATCAAATAGAAAGAAAAAATGTCCATGTGATCATTAGACACGTCAAAGAAGACATGAAAATTTATCTCCATGGCTGGGATGAGTGCCGGAAAAATTTTTTTTTTTCAACAGTAACTTTATTTCAGTTCATGCCGACAACCGACATGATTGCTAGTATACTCGGCTTCGTAATCGCAGAATGTAAGCGCAAAATGAAATAAAAAAAGCTTTAAAATGTTCTTCCGTAAGTACTATCGAGAATATTTTAATAGTGTCACAAAAGAGCGGAAAAGTGTCTCTTTGGAAGTTATTCCTACTTAAATGTTCCAGCTGTTTCTACGACGGAAAGAATTTCAAAACCAAGGTAGAAGGTACAGAAGGCTCTTGGCCATTAAAAAGAGCAACCTTTAAGTCAAAATTCAAACCTCAGAAATTAAAAATACCTATCTCAATTGTGGTGGAACAGCTAGGAAAATAAAGGAAAGCGAACTTACGAGCACAAACTCAGCTGCCAAATGACCGTAAGAACCAATTTTCCAGAAAGATCATTAACACTTATATTTACCTGCGATTTCAATATTTATGGTCAACTCAGTACCGACACAGAGGTGTACAATAAAGGTAAGTAACAAAGCAAAATTTATCAGTTGACTATTCTACTAGGGCTTTTTTTTTTTATTTTTGAAGTACTATAAGAGAGAACTTGCATAAATTGGAAATGGTTAAATGTGAAAGTCTAAGGGTTGTGGGTTACGGGTAAATATGTTCCAAAACACATGGAAAAATCACTAAATTTCCCGTAACAAGAGTATACAAAGCTTGAATTGTAGTGCATTTGTTAGATATGGAATGGCCCGTCTAATGCCTTTTCGTCTGGTTGATTCCTTCATTAATAGATAAGCTGTAGCATAGACAAACATTTCCGTATTATTTAAAAAGCTCAAAAGAATATTTTTCTGTTGGCGGGCCCTTTTTAGGCTTCTTACATCCTCTTTTTTCTTTACTTAAGTTTACCGGTAATGCCCTTTCCCCTTTAATTAACAAACTAACCAGATTCTTATATAACGAGACACGTTTCAGCTCTAGAAGCGAATTCACAGCATTTGTAGTTTTGCCAAACATCAGCTATCACGTAATAACAATCCCGGCAGGCTTCGTCGAAGTCGCAAAAAATGTGTTGAGTGTGATGCTCTCTCCGCAGCGTTAGCAGCTACATCTCAGGGGTGATGAAAATGCCATCTCTACTTTTCTTCGGCACGGACTGCTCGCGGTCATTCCTTAACCCATTTCTTAAGGAGAGACAATTTGATAGGTAGTTAGCCTGTTTTATAAACACAATTTGGCGATATTCTCCGGAGAGAACCCGGTTACTCCCTCAATTTCGCCTAAAAAGGTATGTGACACCAACTGAGGTATGGCTTTCGGGGTCGTGAGTCTTTTTCAATTCTTCTGAAGGGGGTAGCGGGGGAGGTTCTTTCTGGGGTGGAAGTTTAAAACTCTTCTCTCCACATATTTTTAAACTGTTTATCTTTATTTTGCTATTTTACCTCATCGACATGATGCAAGCCTCATCTTTTCCTAACAATGATGTTCTAGAGGAGAAAGTTTGGCCCCGTTACCGAGGAAAGCGAGCAGGCAAGCAAGTTAAAGAACGAGAAACTTACAAGCGCCATATTATAACCACCATTACAAAGTCAAGACCAGTGAGCCGTAAAACTAAATTCACGGCTTCCAGTTCGGGACATATTCCTGCTAACTGCAAGGTTATTCGTCTCGAAGCCCCCTTGGAATCTGGCTCTGCTTACTCGTTTGTGCCGGCTTTTATTCTCTCAAATGTTATGTCTCTCTCACCAAAGATTGACGAAGTTCGAGTGACCATTTTCAATGCAAATCTGGACTTCATTTGCATCACAGAAACATGGCTCAAAAACCACATTGATGAAAATTTCGTGTTGGTTCCGGGCTACAATATCATCCGCAGAGACCGGGTAACTAGTGATCATGGAGGCATTTGTATGTACTTCCACGATTCTATCCGATTTGATGTTCTATCCGACCTTATGGACGAGAATTTTGAAGTTTTATGGGTTAAAATCCACCCCAAATGGCTCAGCCTAGGGGCATAACATCTATTATTGTTGGAACTATTTATCATCCGCCGAGTGCAACCGACTCCTTGATTTTAAATTACCTGTACGAGTCACTATCAAAAATCGAAGCCATTTTTCCTGACTGTGGCCTCTTTCTTTTGGGGGATTTTAACAAGTTAAATTGCTCTCGTGTGAGGAACGCCTTCGATCTCCGCAAAATTGTCCCCTTTCCAACTCGTGGGCAAAGTAAATTAGATCTTGTCTTCACCAATCTCGGCGCCTTTTACGATGTGCCCAAAAATTTTCCTCCTTTTGGGCTCTCAGACCACGATACTGTGGAAGTACAGCCTCTGGCTAGATGGCATGGTCCGAGGAACAAAATCCTGCTGAAATCCAGAGACTTGCGGACAACAAGTCGTCTGGCCATGTGGACTTACCTCGATGAAGTCGACCTTGGTCGTCTGGTAAGATGCAAAGAGTCATGCGAAGAGAAAACACTCGCGCTTGAAACCATAATCAAGACGGGCTTGGATTCTGTTCTCCCCCTTAAATCCAAGACGATCATTGCCAACGAACCACCATGGATTAGCAAACAATTGAAATCTTTAATTCACGAGCGTCAAATAGCCCTTGCTCGTGGCGATAAAGATTGCTTCCGCCGCCTTCGGAACCGTGTTAATCGCTTGCGGAAGTCTTGTCGTGCTAAATAC